AAAGCAGCTGCCACCAGCAGACGGGGCTTAGTCCCCTATCTAAGCCCAACCTGCCCCTGGTCACACCTATGGTTAGGGGTAGAACCATGGCATGAACCCAGGTGTCCCCAGGCTCCCAACTCCCTGCGGCTGGGATCACATCATGCTTCCCTAGTCAGTTTTCTGAAATGACTGGAGTTCCAGCAGTTCTCCAGTGGGTTTCAGCAGTTCTTTGCATCAAAGCTCAGATTAGAGAATTTCAGATATATTACACGCCATGCTGGCAGCTTCCCAGGAACACTGGGTATTTCTCTCTTATAGAAATCTGCAAAGGGTGCTTGGTCAGTGTTGAGTGGCCCCTTGCACACAGTGTAATTGATTCAACTGTTAAGTTTCTTTTGAAGTTTACTGGTTTCTACCAAAAAGGTAGTAGAGGGTAGGGGGACTTTGGGCTGATCCAGACCAAGGCTTACATCCCACCTCTGCCATGGTATTGCTATTACTGCAATGTATTACTATGTACTCTTGGTATTCTTGGGCAATTTATATAACTTCTTCCTAGGATGGCTGTGAGTTTTTATTAAAGACTTACATATTCATATTTTGTGATTAGTTTGAGGGGCTTCTTTCATCAGTTCGACAGTTTTCTTTAAGCAATACAAAAAAGATGATTGTTGCCCAGCTGTCATGGCTCAGTGGTTTAGCATCGTCCTATGAACCAGGAGGCCGTGGTTCGATTCCAGTTGGGGCACATGCCTGGATTGCAGGCTCGATCCCCAGTGTGGGGCATGATGATTCTCTCTCATCATTGGTGTTTGTATTTCTCTCTCCCTCTCCCTTCCTCTCTGAAATTAATAAAAATCTATTTAAAAACCACACAAAATGATGATTGTCTTTTAAGACAATTTCAAAAGAAATTGTCACTCTCCTGTTACCAACAACAATATGACTTTAAGTTACTTAATATCTGAGGACCTTAGTTTATTTCCTAATCAAAGGAAATACCCATGCTCATTTAATAGAGTTGTTGGAAAAATTAAATGAAAGCAGGGAAAGTCACAGGGCTTCGTACAGAGAAGTTGTACATGAACACAGTGTTTTAAACTTTTGTTTTTAGCAGCATATGTTAAAACGGTTTGGGGATTCCCAGCAGATGGGATGAACTCAGAGCTGGGAGCAGGCCAGGAGGCAAACCTGTCTGGCTTCTTTCTCTCTCTGAGGCCCCTGTTCTGAACCAGGCCCATCCCTAACATTTGTGGGGCCCAGGGCAAGAGTACCTATGAAGGTATGGCTGCCATATGTCTAAATATTTAAAAGTGATAAGTAAGGCCAACAAATTGTTAAGATAAATAAGGTCTATCATCTAATTGAAACAAATTTGCCTGCATAATAGACCAGAAGGCCAGGTTTGAATTTAGGGTTCTTGGACTCCTTAGAATTCTGTGCCAAAATGTGACTGACCAGGGAGTGTGGGCCCCTGGACGCCTTTTGTTCCCACCCCTGGATCCATCCTGTGCAGAAAGGGGCCTTGCGTGCTTTGTGTGGATACCCCAACCTCCACGCCCAATCTCTGTTCATAGCCTCTACATACCCCAGCCTTGGACCACTCCTGAGTCCAGGGGTACATGTATGCTTGTGCAGTTAGTTCCCCTTGGGAGGCCAGATCTGAGGAAGAGCCCCACCCTCACCCCCACCCCTCACCCCCAGGCTGTGGAAGTGGCTCAGGGCAGTTTGAGTAGGATATTCTGGGGTCCCAGGCTCCTGGCGTATGCTTTAGAAGTTAGGGGAGGAGTTAGACTCTGGGTGGGCACATACCCTTCTCTAAGGTTTTCTCATCCTCTGAGGAAGGGAACAGCTGGAAAAGGGCCCCTCCTACTTGTGGCTAAGGCTAGTGCTGCCCTGAACCCTAGTGCTCCAAGGAGCCCAAATCCTGAATTGACAGCTTCTTTTACAGCTTTTCAGGTTTGTATTCTTGACCTATATGGTTCCAGAAGTGCCCTTTCAACAGATTGAAAGCCCTAATTTCTAATCCCAGTTAGAAATAAAAAAGATATCCCTTGGTGCCTAGCACTAAAGCTCTGGCCAATTCTTTCTATTGACCACTAAGGCTGCCCAGTAGGGAGCAGTTGCAGCTAGCCTTGCCTCTAACCTAGAGGAAGAACAATGGTCAAGCATTGCTTCTGCCCAGCTGGGCACCCCACAGTTCCTCCTACCGACTCTTCCCCATTTTCAGCCCTGGGTCTCTGTATTGCCTGGTGTCCCCAAGGCCAGAGTCTCCCCTCAGACTGTGTGGTGATGGTGATGGGAAGATGTAAGGGAACTGGGGAGCCCAATGATTCTATGTACAGACTTTGACCCACTCACCCTGTTGTTGGCACCAGGCCTCACCTCTGTCTTCTGCAACATCTGGTGCTTTCAAGTTCAAAGTGCCCGGGGCGGGGGGGGGGGTCTATTGGGCATGTTTGCTCACTTTGCCAATACTCCTTCTGTGGCAGTTTAGGCTGTGCCTGTTTCTATGGCTGTCAGGAAACCCTACTTTATCTATTTTTCATCTGTAAGAAATTAGTTGAGACCTCTGGCCCACTCATTTATCTACAGTTTCCCCTTGTGATTCAATAGTCTTTGGTTTCCTTTTCTGGTGTGTGAGTGTGTGTGTGTGTGTGTGTACTGTAGTGTGTGGAATTTCAGGAGAAAGAGGAGGAAGACAAGTAGCCAATTCACCATGTTTGACTAGATTTAAATACTAATAAAGTAGCAGATCCGATGTTCATGGAGGGTTTCATCTATATTAGAATGGCCTCAGATCCCTTCTTTTGTGCATCATTTCTTTCCCTTTCTGGATATTTTCAGAGAAGCGGGGATTTATGGCACTATCATATCGACCTCAAGCCACACGGGGCCCGTGATGGAAAAGCCCTAAGTTTCTAGACAGCAGTTATTCTTACCGGATCCCCTGTGTGTGTTCAGGTTCCAGAGCCTAGAATTGAGTGCAGTCTCATAACCCCAGTGGGAGCCAGCTCTCCAATCATTTTGGAAATGTGTTCTGTCCTTTATTCATTCCCCATTATAGCCCCATTTGTTCTTGAACTTGCTTAACATAGCATAAAACAGACAAATGAATAGATGCAATCTTTATGAATCTAAACTCCTTAATAAGTTCTTAGGTGATTTAAACCTATTCATGGTCCTTCCTGATATGGAATAATATGTGAACATTCCTGTGCATAATTGTGTACTCATTAATGTATTCCTACCTATGTATAAGTCATTAATTTTGGGGGAAAACCCTTTATCTTCTGGATTAACATTGTCCACAATATGAAGAAGGGGTTTTACCTTTTAGAGAAGTAGCAGATAATATATATCCTATATAATAAAAGGCTAATATGCACTTGACTGAACGGCAGAACGACCGTTTGCTATGACTCACACTGACCACCAGGGAGCAAACGCTCAATGCAGGAGCTGCCCCTGGTGGTCAGTGCACTCCCACTGGGGTTATG